CGTTCTCGTCAACTATCACGCGATAGAAATCTCCAGCTCATAATCTAATGGTTTAATCGAGATGTACACAAGATAAATGTCCACCTTAAACAGGTACCTCTTTCATCAAGAGGCGTATGAGAGGTTTGTCAGAGAGGATCAGGGTTATAGTATCTGCCCTAAAGAAGAGGCACTTCTGAGTGGTGTCTACCTTAGAGAGTAGTTTTCTTACTGGAGACCGAGGTCTACAGTTGTTACAACTCTCTAAGCTGAGTATATGGAACTGATAATCGATGTAGTTTTGCCAACAACAGTTTTGGAGCCTCCGGCGTGTTTTTTCCTCCTTTCCCAGAACAGCCATCTGCTACAATCAATCCCCCAATTGTGACCTATCAAATCGGAAACAATGTTTCCATCAAATGTCAGATGAATGGGTTCCCATTTCCTTCTCTGATGTGGTATAAAGACAGTCTTCAACTGGAGTCAAGTGAAAGGATCAGCACAGACAACGACGGTGTGCTGGTTATCAGAAATGCGCAACTGTTAGATGCTGGAGAGTACGAGTGTGCTGTGTGGAACATTGCAGGACAGAGCCAGGCCACAGTCACGCTACTTTACACTGGTAACTAGATATCAATCAGTGAATTCTCCTCACTTATTGTCATACTTTTCTTTTAACTTGGAGAATTTGTCGGATTATGAACTACACCGGACAATGTTGCAGAAGTGGTCTCAATGTGGTCAGATGTCTTTCAAGAGAATCTTTTAATGACACACCGTCGTTTTGATCTAAGCGTGGACACGTGACGATGTTCTAATTGGGTGCAAACATGATGACATATTTGTCAACCAAACATTTAAAGTTTCACAGCCGTTTAGCACATTTTCCCATCCAAATTAGCAAGTACTTGAAGTTGTTGATATGTTTTCGATAAATATATGACCCGCTTTCACTAAGAAAGCAGAACGCGCGAAATATGTCGTGTGCATGCAATTAGAGTATGTTTTTTTTCGTTACGTCTCCGCGCTTAGATGAAAACAACAGTGGAACTTTCAAAACAGTAGAGGGCAACCCAAGCAAAAAGTAAGGGTAATCAGAGCGAGGGTAATCAGTAATGAATAAGCACCCCGTAGGACACTCCTTAAAATTTAAGACAAACCTCACGTTACGTTTATCTTTACCCTGACAAGACAACTGTTTTTTTTTAATACATTTACACCCCACAGTACCACCGTCAGTGTATGTTGACCAGAAGGAGGTGACCGCTAACGCTGGTGAGACCATCACAATCCGATGTACAGCAACTGGTACGCCGAGGGCACAGATCACGTGGTATCAGGGACAAAACAAAATGATTGCCAACCGGAGAATCGCCGTCAGTAGCCAGGGACATCTGGTTATCAATGCAATCGAGTTAAAAGACGCTGGATATTACACATGTCTGGGTAACAATAGCGCTGGCCAAGACTCCGTTACTATTACTGTTAATGTGCAAAGTGAGTGATATATGTTATGTTTACTGGTTTGAGTTTGTACCTCCTGTTGTTAGGCCCCGTCCAAACTACGCCGGGGAATTTTCAAGACGGAGGTTTCACTCTGAAAACGCGTCGAATGTTTTCTGTCCACACTACGCCGGAGAAATTTGAAAAAGCAACAATCAACGGTCATTTTTTAATTTGTGTTTGATGAAAACTCGGACTGGGAAATCACTTGATTACCGTGATGTCATCGTTTTCGAAAAGCTCGTAAGGGTAGTTTTTATTTCTCATTTTATTCTGGCCAAGATCGCAGTTTTTAAACTAAAAGATAAACTGAAAGAGTAAGAAGTAGTTGTGTTTCAATAAGGACATAAGACTGTTATACGAAGCTTTCCGCATGCTTGGATCTCATTCTAGAACGCGACCAAACGGAAACAAAATATTTTAATGAGGTAGATAACTGCTTCCTGAAACTGTCTTTTCATAGTCCCTCCACGTGTGACGGTAGACAATGATGAGATTCCTGTGATACTGGGCGAGACACTTGTGTTACGTTGTGCAGCAGTTGGAGTTCCTATCCCGACCATCACATGGATGAAGAACAACAGACCCCTGCAGACTAGTGACAGGATCACCATCAGTTATGACGGAGGAGAGTTGGTTATAACGGATGCTATTCCACAGGACGTAGGAGACTATCAGTGTGCTGGGAGAAGTCCGGCCGGAACTGCCACGGCAGTGATTATGCTCTGGGGTGAAGGAGGTTGGTTGTTAAAGAGTTTAAAGGAGCTAAGTCACTCCTTGTGCATGTGAAAAAGTTTGGCCTACATTTTCAAGTTTCTCGTTCGTAATCTTCTCCATCTTAAATCATCCTGGTTTCTTTATGGTTTATTATTATCTCTCTGGTGTTTTTTTCTATCTTTTTTTGCTACAGTAACTCTGGTTTCCTTCGATTTAAAGGTAATTTTGTACGAAGCCAAGTAAACTCAAAATACCGTGACTGAGCTCCTTTAAGAGTGTTGATCTCATACTGAGGAAGCTGGTTACTTTCTTTGTGAGTTCTTGGTCTAATTTGGCTTTCCGTCTTGCTGCCGTGACTTCTGTTCTGAAACATACAGTGAATGCGTACTAGCTGTTATTTGAGAAGGATTTCGTTAAAATCCAGTATTGGATATGAATCCAGACTATAGACTTTATATTATTTTATATTTTGTTTTCATACACCCATTTATCTGCAATTTTTTATTGAATTTACCTGGAACTCGTTGTTATTAGTTGGTATCATATATGTACAGTATGTCACTCCTAATGGATCAAACGTTCGTGGGCAAGACAATTTACCGTCACAGTCTCCCTCTATCCAGATTTATAAAAGGTGAATTTAATGCTGGGGGTAACCCTGCAATGGACTAGCATCCCATCCAGGGGGAAGTAGAAACACTCCTAGTTACTCCACGCTACGGAAACCAGGACAATCTCTGGCGGTAATGGCCTCTTGGCCCGAAGCAGACTGTACCTTCCCTATATGTTACTCTGTTTTTATTTCAATTTGTAGTTCCTCCCACGATAACGAGGCGTCCTTCAGAGAAACATGTCACGTTTGGTGGAAATGTAACCTTTACGTGTCGTGCCGAGGGAGTACCAGAACCTCGAATCACATGGTACAATACCTTGGGGATTGCGGCTGACACAGACCCCCGTGCTACAGTGTTGCCCTCTGGTGACCTGTTCATACAGAGCATAGAAATAAAGGATGCTGGGAGATATGACTGTGTGGCAGAGAACAGTCTGGGGAGAGATACAGCCCAGGTCACTCTCATTCTAACAGGCCTTAGTAAGTGACAAATAGCAGTCGTATATAGGTTTCCAGGGCTTATCTGGCAAGTTGCTGGTTAAACTTGGAATGGCATAAAAAGAAAACATTGCGATCTTTGAGAAATCGAAACACTTTTAAAGGGAATTGTGTAAAAAATCAATTCCGATATTAATCACATTGCCGCGATAATCGAGGCGTGTAAACGAGCTTGATAACAACGAAAGGGTAAAAATTCCTTCGTTTCGCAAACTTTTTAAACCTTTTATATTTTCCAGAAAGTAAAAAGAAATGTTCGTTTTCCTCATCTTTTTAAGCTTTCAGGAAATGTATACTTTATTGGGGATTATTTTCAAAACCTCCGTACAAAAACGCGCTAACGTGAGACGGTCAATTGGCGGAGGTATACTGAACCTTGAATGGTTTGTGTTTTGTCTGTGAATACAGCATTCCATTTCACTATAAACGTGTTTTGTCCGTCTTCACTTTCTCAGCTCCACCAGTAATTATCAAACCAGAGAAAACCACCATCATTGGTGACAGAAATGGAACAGTTGAGCTAGAGTGTCCAGCCATTGGTAACCCCAAACCTACCATCACATGGCATAAGAATCGTCGGTCGATTGCTATTGACGGCACCAAGTTTAGACAGAAGAATACAGGGGCGTTGGTGATAAGCTCATTGTTGCGGCTAGATTCTGGGACATACTTGTGCATTGCAAAGAACCCCACTGGACAAGATTTTCTCATCCTCACCCTCTACGTGTACAGTGAGTCTTTAATGATGTACTAAGGAACGTAATGGCATAGCTGTGAATGTCAGCATAGCATAGACAGAGAAACGGTGGCTTCTTAACTTTACTAAGGCATTTTGTATCTGTGTGCGGAACACAGCAAAACATGATAGTGCAGACACAATGAAATCTTGATGATAAGTGTAGTATCACTGATAATGAATCACACAAAGCAAAGATTTGACTGGATAGCTTTAACAAACTTGTTCATGTTATTAATCTAAACGTGTAGGAGAAGACTCGTAGAATTCAAACAGTGTTTCGTGATTTTTTTTTTTTTTTTTTTTNTGTTTTCCAGGCTAATTTCAGCGCCCGCTCGCATGATTTACTAATTGTTGGATGTCCGGCTTATGTTTGTGGTTTCCTCTTGGTCAAGGCCATCACCGGTGTGTTAAACACCCGGGGGGATTGATGAACAGCAGTTAATTTTTTGAGTGTTGTTTACTTCTTACTTAACGGTTCATCATAGAAAAGATGAACACTTGATATACACGTAATAAACACATAACATGTTTTTCGCTGTTAGATTCTCCTGAAATTATCAAGCCACCACCAAACATGACTGTAGACGTCGGCGATTCCATCTTGATGGAATGTGTAGCGAGAGGATATCCTGTTCCACGCATTCGTTGGTTTCTAAACGACAAAGCTCTTCCTAACAATGGTTCTGTTATTGAAATAGCCAAGCTATCCCTTAACCATACCGGTGTGTATCTCTGCGTGGCTGAGAATGTAGCTGGTAATGCTACTGCTACAGCCACTCTTTCTGTCATGGGTGAGTTATTTGAAGTCATTTTAAGAGATGCTAGTATACACTTAGGAGTGAATTAGTTTTGAACTAGGTCTCATGAAGGTACCACTAAAGCCTGGTTTTCACTACGACATAGGCACAAGCGTAATGGTAGGGAGGACGCGCACAGCACAAGCATAAGCACGTAAGCATGCGCAGAATGGACAATTGCCTTATTTTCGGTTCCATACCTCAGTAAAACAAGATGCCGAGCTTTCGCTTATGCTTATGCTCACAGCAGCACGTATTTGGTTAAACATAAGCACTAGAAGGACAAAAACGTTTTTTTTTTTTGGCAAGTCCTTATGTTAATGCTTGTGCTGTGGGCGTCCATACTACGGTTTTGCTTATGCTTGTGGTTGTGCTTATGTGGATGTGAAAACCAGGCTTAACCTGCCATCAGGCGTTTTCTTTTTTCTGAATATAGGGACGGAGGGTATAATCGCTCGTTACATCGTTACGGCGTCCAGTCAAGCTCTAGGTTCCTGCTAAGACCTCCATTTGCTTCGCCGCGCATTCCATCCCAGGAAAGATCGCGTGAAGATCGCGTAAAAACCGCGTGAAGATCGCGTGAAGATCGCGTGAAAAGCCGAAACGACGTCTGCGTCTACAGGAGACTAGGCGCTAGTGATGAGGAGAAGTGATAAGATATACCTATGGGCTTGACTGAGCTCCAAATTCTAGGAACTGACCGGAAGACAAATATACAGCATTTAATTAGTAAGGGAAATAACAGATACCAGCTGCGCTTATTCGAATCGGGCGCTTATTTGAGGTCTTGAGGAGAGCGTCAATTCGATTGAATGGGTCGCCAATGGAAAAGTTGGTACTCTAACAATTGAAGAGATAGCAGTATTTCTTTATCAGCTCAGTATCATATTCAAGTGACTAACTCAATTTCTGATAAATTGTCAAATAAGATGAATGGTGCGAAACTACCGATAACTTTGCACCATAACTGCATCTGTCTTTCAACAGCTCCACCAGCGATATTTCAGTCCAGGTCGCCTATAAATGTATTATCAGGAAGTTGGACAGAATTGCCATGTAATGTTAGTGGCAATCCCAAGCCGACAGTTAGCTGGTTTCTACATGACTTGCCGATTGATGAGAGTGATCTTAAGTATTTGATTCTACCGTCCGGTAATCTTCGTATTTTTGGTGTGACGCCATCGGACAGTGGGGTATATTCCTGTATGGCGTCCAATCCTCTTGGAGTAGCTCGGTGTCCTGTCGAGTTGTCGGTACAAGGTAAGAACAGGTTGAAAATGATTGAAGAGCAGTTTTCCAGTGACAATCTCAAAACTCATTAACAGCTCAAGGTAAAACAAACGAAATCATAACCGACCTGCTGGTTTTTTAAAAAAGTAAAAAGTGTACATTTTTTCCCTTAGTCTTGGTTATCAAAGGGAAGATTTATCAAACTCTCGAAACAGTAGTTCAACACCCTGAGGTTCGCCATAAAAACTTCACCGCGCGTCGTAATTCTGTTCTAGGTGTTTGGAAATGAGTTGAAACACCTCCTCTTGTGCTTGAGATCATTTTTACGTCATAAATTCAAAACCAAAGTACCATATTTACTCGAAGTGGTGCCGTGCACAAAAGCGCTGCCCTGGAAGAAGAGCGGCAACCCTGAACAAAGGCGCGGTGCTTATTTGACGTACTTGAGTTCCGAGGCGGAGTTTTCTCGAACACGCAGTTACGTTTCGTCGATGTGTAAAAAGAATGGCTTTGACATGTTAAGCTGAGTTTTGGTTGGTCTTCATGTCGTTTTGTAGACAAATAAGATTTGATATGTTTTGCGTTTCTCATGACATTTTCATAAGCGCAGCCTGAAATAAGCGCCACATCAAAACGTTTAGAGCTAATAAGCTCTGCGGCGTTTTTTGGAGTAAAAACGGTAATTATTACAAAGCTTGTCACTGCAAATCTGTGAGGTATTTCTCCCACCCCCAGATAAATAAACCCCACAACATGATACTTCAAAACAAATTGATGACTAGATATTGCGTTGTGTTAAACTGTCATCATTGCAATATTTAGTCTTTTAGTTTTATTGTATGCTTTAAGTTCTGTCCAAAATATCGCTTTTTGGAGAGTTTCTTTTCCCGATTTGAAGATTACAGATTCTTCGTTTTTGTTGTTGCAGTTCCTCCTGAAATTATCAAAGAACCCCAAAACATTTCCATTGATGAAGGAGACACTATTATCTTGGAATGTGAGGCACTTGGGTTCCCTGTGCCTCAGATCACGTGGTATCTGAACGGCAGCGCCTTGTCAACTAATAGTTCACTGGTGGAGATAATCGAAGCCAGGAAGTCAGAACACGAAGGTCTCTATCGCTGTGAGGCTAAGAATCCTGCTGGGATTGTTACAGCCAGTGCTTTTGTTACCGTAAAAGGTCAGTCTCATGAATACACATTCTTTTCTAAGTGCCTGTTGACAAATACCTTGAGATTCCCTTAGTAAGTCCCCCGCCCTGAACATAGACCTCCCGAAAATAAGCCCCACAAATCTCAGGGGCGTAAAAATCCTTTCTGCAATAAACCCCTCGAATATAAGGTTGTGTTCATGCGAGCAATTCGCACTGGATGCAAATTAACGCGCGTGCGTCAGTAATTTTCTCCGTCATTGTAATAAATGAGTAATCGTATGAAAAAAGTTCAAGCAAGTAAGGATTTACACTACGTGTAATATTTGAAAATTCTTTCAAATTGCAGAGACTCCTGTAATTTTGGCAGAATTCTCAAACATCACTCGTAAGGTAAATCTTTAATTGCAGTCGCGTTTACACGATTGCCTATACTAATTCTTACCCCAGCCAGCGGCGATTGCAGCTAGTTAGGTTAGTCAGGTAAATCTGATGTTCAATGCAGTGGTCTGTCGTTCATTTGCTATGTTCAGAAAGTGGGAGACTGTAGTGTTACAAGTGTATGTTTTATTTTCTTTCCTTTTGTTGTTTTGTTTGTTTTACAGGAAGGGACAAAAATGTTGCCCAGAGAGGAAGGCCTGGTAATTGTTACTATTAATTTACTGAACGTTATTTAAATGTAACTTTAAAATGACATTGATGTTTTCATCAATAAATAATCAATAGCCTCCGCTCGGCGCGAAAACACGCTTGGATAGTTGTCGGTTTCTCAGTTAGTTTCTCTAAAACTTCCCCTATTTGAATTTATTTTCCTGTAGTAATGCCTTTGTTTTTCATGTTTCCGTAGAGTTTGTGCTCACACCACAAGACACCGTAGTGGACGCAGGTTCAACCTTCCTCTGGGACTGCACAGCCAGAGGAACACCAACCCCTGTGTTGACTTGGGCAAAGGATGGTGTAAAGTTTCAATCTGATATCCCTGAGCATATTAATATCCTGTCCAATAACAGTTTAGTAATAACAAGAGTGAAACCAGAGGATGCCGGACAATATCAGTGTCATGCTAGGAATGGAGTTGGTGCACACGTGGTACAGGCGACATTGACAGTCAGAGGTGAGACCCTAGTGCGCGTGCCCTCGTTGTTAAGGTTCTATTAAAAAATCAGTATCAATCTATCAGAACTCGGTCGAGAATTACGCAGAAGAACCACATTGCTTCTTACAGTTCTTCTGTGTGTGAAATTCTAAGTGAAATTTGACGCTCGTTCGTTTGCATAATTTACTGCAATACTTTTTGGTTTTCTTCTTTGGTTTTTATTCATCTCGCGTTTTAGTGTAAGTTTCAGGAAATTTAATTATAGTCACCTTCTTGACAAAAGACATTTTAAATTTCTTTCGTCTTCTAATCGTTTTCTTCTTTTTGGCACGTTGTTGCAGTTAATGGACGGTGGAGTGAATGGTTAGAGTGGGGTGCCTGCAGTAGATCGTGTGGATCTGGGTCCCAGTATAGATTCAGGTCATGTGACAATCCTGTGCCAAGTAATGGCGGGAAGCCGTGCTCTGGAAACAATGTACAATCACAGCTCTGTAATGTACAATCCTGCCCCGGTAGGTGAAATGTTTCGTGTAACCGGTGACTTGGTTGGCAATGATGGGGCTGGGCACTTTATAAATATGTTTGCCAGGCAAGAACTACCTGGCGAAAGTAAAAAAACTCATATATGACAGTAATTCATTTAAATATCGTTTCATTTCTTTCTTTCTTTTTATTCCATCTAAAACGCTGTGTTAAACTTACTACTCAATGACGTTATGAGGAAGAATGTAATAGTTTGGTAGTTGGCTTTCAAGAACATAACCTCTTGCAAGTCACCTACAAACAGAAACACTACCAGATAGAAGGCAATCTGGTGCTACAGCAGACCTAGAGCAATAAACCACATTGAATGTTGATCATGCACGCTGCTTGTCGTGGGTGCGTAGAAAACACCTTTGAGCGGGCGATCAATTTGTCAGCGATCGCACGCAATGCAGTTGATCATAAAGGGACTGTTTGAAATGTCGCCCCCACTTTATAGAGTAGCTGGTCTTTTTACTAGCCCCTAAAATATGAAGATGCACAAAATTAGGTTATCCCTCAAAATTGTTTTACCCTAATGGTTCACAGCATTCTCTTTGAAAATTCCTTTAAAGCTCAACTTAAAGTTCTTTCTCTTACAATTGTGTGGCAGTCTTTAACCATTTTCTTTTTTCTTTTTCTTTTGTTTGTTTTGTTTTGTTTTGTTTTGTTTTTTCAGTTGACGGAGATTGGTCTGACTGGACAGAGTGGACATTGTGTTCACAGGTTTGTAATGGCGGAGAACAAACACGATACCGCGAGTGCAATAACCCAGCTCCACTACATGGTGGTAAAGACTGTCAGGGCAATAAGAGAGATTCAAGAACTTGTAACTTTTTTAAGTGTCCAGGTGAGACCATAATAGAGGAGTTAGTGACAGATTTTGTTCGTGCGCACTTGCGCTGAAAGGTTTTAACAGGAATTCTAAAGCGCAAAAGATCAGCTTCCGACTCAGATGGTTGACGAAGGATGCCCCTTTTAAGATTTAATCCGCAGTTCTTGTTAAGTTACTTTGAGGTCAATAAAGTCAAATTGTTGCATAATTTTAATTACCAGTCTCCGGCTACTCTGTTTTCCAGTTCAAGCTTGTCGACATCATCTGTTAGTTGTTTAACTCAAGAAAGTCTTCAGACTCTTCTTTATCAGATTCTTCTACAAATATTTTCTTAATTTAACAAACAAGAGTTGTTGCCACGTTATGCGTGAAGTAAAAAAAGTCTTAAAACCGTTTTTTCGAATGTTCGAACAAGAATGATAACTATCGCATAAAACGTACAACAGTTNTATTAAACTGAAGATGGCATAAGCATGCCGAAACATGTCTTTAAAAACTGTTGTACGTTTTATGCAATATTTATCATTATTGCTAGTATTACGACCTTAAAGAATGATAACGTTAAAACTTTAAAGGTTTTTCCGAATTACTAACCTTAAAATACCAGTTTCCTTAGGTGCTAAACCGCTTACAGCAGGGGGTAATAACAAAAGAAAAAGAACCAAGCATGGTTATAGATTTTTAAAGACTGAGATCAAATGGCTAATGTGATTGATATTTTTCAAGGCAACTTTTTATTTCGTTTTTTATTTGCGATTTTGGAATTGTCGCATTTCGCGACGACTGCTATTTTAAGTTCTCGCCGCATTTTGTTCAGATTTTCGCTTAGGTTTTTCTAATATGCTAAAAATGGAATATTGAGATCAGAATGCAAGGATGCTGATAAGAGGGACGAGGAAGATGATGAGAAATACAGGGAAATTTCACCTACAAAAATTACAGCAGCAACTAATTTTCGCCATTCTTTAAACAATCGCGAAAAAACGTTGCCGAAATAAAAGGGTAGCTTCTCAACAAGTCAACTAAAATTGTTTTTCAGATGGCGTTGAAGTAGGAATTGGCCAAGTTCATGGAACAGTCAATAACGTGATGCTACCAACCCTCTTTCTATTGGCTAACTTCACTAAGACTCCAGCCAATGACACGCAGGTGTCCTGTTCGGTCAGTGGCTTGCCTGGGCCAATCAGGAACTGGCTTAAGTCTTTGTCAATTCCACTAACCGCCCCAGTCTACTGGGCTACAGCGGGAGAGAAGCCTGGTGCTGAGAATGGCCTCACCATTACAAAAGGACGATTTGTTTACAAAACGCGGGTGCTATTTCAATCTGGAGAAACCGTGTTCATTGAACATCGGGGACAAGGCATAAATGAAAAGGGTGTGTTTGTGCTGGATGTCGACGTTAAAGGAGGCACGCCCAAGTTGCCTTCAAATGCAGACGTAAAATTCCCAGACTTTGAAGAGATGTTTGTCAAGACGAGAGTGGGAGAAATAAGCTCTTCATCCCAGTAAGTTTGTTTGCTATCTACACTTGAGTTACTTTTAAGAAATCTCCGTAGTAATGGCCGCGCATAGTTCTAAAAATTATAGGACTTACAAAGAGTTGTTCTGGACGTGTTGGAGTATTAGTGAACTAAGAAGGCGTACAAGAATTAATATATCTGATTAGATGTTTTGGTGAGTAGTATTGCTGTATATTTTTACGAGTTGTGCCGTATTTTGACTCGCCCTACGGGCTCGTCAAAATAGAAACGAGTAAAAATATAAAGCGATACTACACACCAAAACATCTAAAAAGAGATTTATTATCCAACTGCTGTAGTCAATAAATTTAGCAATGAAAGAGGGAGAGTGTGACAGTTTTGCGGGCGCGCGCCGACCTGTATGGCAAGCGGGTTTTCTACTGTACAAATAACTGTACAATATTGCTGTATATTTGTACTGTTATTTGGACGGTATTCGCTGCAGTTAGATAATAAAAACCAATACTTCACATTATCCCTGACTTTTCTCCTCTAAACTGAACTACATACCTTGATAGAAGACTTTGGGACACCTATTAATGTAAAACTTTGTCATGAATGTCAACTTTCCTCCATACAATAGTGCTGAGAGGCGCCGTTTCCTCACACTACACAAAGTTATGAAGGAGAGAGGGTTAACTGCGAAATATGTTTTCATTTCTGTAATACACGTGTCCCAAGAACTTTGTTCTGTGTTTAAGGTAAACAACATTTTAAGGTTATAATTATAAGGTAAATTTGAAAATAAAGCCAAGATATTGAACATTTTTGAAAGCCACTGATTCCTCTGTCATAAATCTCAGCAAAGTTCGGAACGTTTTCAACTTTTTGCAATCGTCATTTCCAAGTCGACTTATATCAGATCCCTAGAATATGTAGATAGGATAGCTTTTTACGGTCAGCAGTTAGAATTAAGCATGATAGCATGAAACACAGGCTTTTCTGTGCTTGCGGGAAACTGAATAACGATGTGTCAAAAATAAACCTGGAAAATAACGGAGACTACAAAATGACATTTTACCATGGTTGAAAAGCACCAAGAGATGATGATAAACCTAAAAGCAACGAGGATGGAGCTTGGAAAGATCAAGTCGGTTATGATCAAACAGCCAAAACGTGTAGGCTAAAATGACGACGGCAACGGCAACGGGAACGTCACTGAACAAAAGAATTAATGAGTAGAACAATAGCTGTGGACGTGCGTTATAATTCTTGGTACATTTCTTTGCCGTCCTTTGCAAAACAACAACGTGAAATGACCAAATTTTGCGTTGTCTGGAGAACGTAAACCACGACGGCTAATATTTTAATTTTTTTTTTTCAAATTTATCGCTGCGTTCCGGATTTAGTTTTGCGATAGTTTCGACAGTGATAAACACAGTAAATGACTTCAGAGTATCGCGAGATTCGTAGGTAAAATATAAATCCATTTTTAATCGACTTTGTCCTCGGCGTCGCCGTCGTGGTTTCGTGAACTCCCTATAGTTTAAAGGGACACTGTCACCATTTTTAGCATGATTTTGGAAATCTCAACCACACACATCGATCTTTGGAAGCTGAACAATAATGGTTTTATTTTGTAGAGCAGTACTTGACAAATGATTAGAACCCATTAGGAGGTAAGGATGGCTAACGATGGCGAGGATGGAAACGGTTGTGATATGGATTTTTGAAAAAGCGTCAGGATGTCAGTTTTTCAAAGGTTCAAGTTTGGCTCGAAAATCGTTGAAATTTTGCAAAAATGTTGCTACACTGTGGACTTTCTTCAAGAAATTGCTTTTAATTATTTAGTCAGCGCTAATTAAGTCCTTATTACATAAATTTAGGGACCATTCCGTGAATTCAAGTATAACAGTTTTAAGCAAGTATATCGTGACTGTGTCCCTTTAATGACGTGCCGATCACATGTCAGACACATACATATAATGATATCCACCCTTATGTTGTTGCAGACAAGTGATGAGTGTGGGTGACAAATCTTTTCCTTTCTCGTCTAACTCTACAATAACATACTCTCCTGACGAGAAGCAGCAGAGCAGGGTTCTAGCAGAGACGGTACAAGTCAGTGCAGTGGATATAAGCCACCCGTATCAGAGTGATACGCTTATAATTGAAATGACTTCATCTATTCAAAGAGGTATGTAACTATGCAGGATACTGCTTTAAAGCATAAAATAACTTTCAATTGTGCGAGTAACTGCCTACAGCTAAAGCTAATCTTCCAATGACCAGTCAGCAGACGTCTGTACAGGGTAAACATTAAAGATTAAAGATAAGCTTAAAATAGATAAATAAACAAAATAAGTAGATAACAAATAGGTAGATGAAGAAGATTGCTTTATCCACCAAACAAATCGAGTTGGTACAAGTACATTACCAATTTGCTAACACATAGCGTGTTACATGTACCAAGGATCAGAGCATTTAGAAAGACTTGTTCTTTGTCGTCTAAACTGAGCATTTGGGTATGAATGAAAATTATTCATGAATGAATCGGCTTGGCCGACCTTTATGTTTGGTTTCGGGAAGCTCTATCAACTTATGCACTATCTTAGCGAAGCTAAATCCCTTTCTTTTTTCCTAATGATCTGTAAAACGAAAGCAAAATATTAATTACTTGTACCCACGTCCATTCTATAGGCTTTGTCGTCGCTTAAACAAAATCTTTATAGTTCTACATAGTCTGTTATAAGTCCAATAATTTCCCCTTGATGGAATGTATGATCCCTTAGTAGTTTAATTTCAAGCCACTGTCTATGGCAAAACTATTTTTAGGAACCTCGGCGCTCAGTGCTTGCAAGATGAAATGGGCCTGAAAGCAAGAGTTAACAGCGTCACATACGTGTTGACGAAGTTCTTGTTTGTATTCCGTTTGAGCTAAGACCTAATGCTAGAAGTAACAGAGTTGCTTTACATCTGGTTTCAGCGTCATTGTCTGACTCGTGCCCTGGAGGTTTGGTAAAGCATCCCTCAAGCCAGTATTGTCAAGGTAATGCTCGTGCTGAATGGATTTGATTATTAAAATCGAAGAATTTACGTATATACGATTATATTGGTAGCAGTCAACAACACGAAGGTACACTTTTCAGTTCAATTACTCTAGCTTTCTCTCATGGAACTGGTATATATAATGGTTTTAATTGAACGAGATTACAGATGGAAATCATTGATCGCTGTTGAGCTAAACGTAGTCTTTTTCACTCTTAACCAAGGTTTAGTCAATTTTGCAAGGGATGAACTTGCATTCTCTGGAGTGTTCATGTTGTCAGTATAGTTGAGGTGATTTTGGTAGGCAGTGGTCTGGGTTCCATTCTAGCAAGCAGGCTCTGAGGATTTCTTCTCTAGACTCTTTCCGCCTCTTCTCCAAAGCTAACATTTCTAAATTGCACAGGTTTATCATTGTCGTGATTCTTTTATGCGATGTTGATTTTAATTTGGATTTTTCTGAATGTGTCGTTTTTTTTATTTAGATATCAACGAGTGCGCTGCGGTTCCACAAGTCTGCTCTCATTTTTGTGAGAACATTTTTGGATCGTTCCGTTGTTCTTGTTCCGCTGGTCACGTTCTCTCCTCGGACAACAAGACATGCGCAGGTGAGGTACTCCGAAGGGTTGCGTGACATTGCTTGTGTGCCACTCGTGTGACGTTTGATGTAAATGTTATTTATAGTGGTCATGCACTTAGCTACAAGCACTATGCTAAGGTAGTTTACAGGCATGCCACTGAAACAAAGGAAACAAATATTTCAAATAAACGTAACATAGTTAAAAGTCGCAACTGGCAGGAGGCAAACCAGTTGGCTATTTACGAAGCGTGACCGAGGATTTGAACTCGGGACTACCGAGAAACAAATCCCGCTAGTAGCAGGGTGGAGGCCTTGAACCTTTTGACCTCCGGCTTACAACACCAGCGCCCTAAACCACTCGGCCACGCTGCCTCCGTGGCCAAGTTAATAAAGACAAGTTAATAAAGTTTATGTAGGATTGTATGTGAATTAGAGGGGGGAGGGGTTCTTTTAAAAGAAAAGCAAACGCTCTCACAGGTTTCACTTTTAGGGACGGACCATTATTTTTTTTAGGGGGGAGGGTCGGGAGGGGGGGAGGTGTTGGGCCACTTCCAAAAACAAAAAACATTCTTGCACAGCAAAACCTGCCGAAAAGAAAATCGTGCAAAGGGAGCCGTGGGGAAAATAACCGAGCAAGTACTTTTTACTATCATAATTTTAATTTTTGGTTTAAAAAATTATTGCATCAGCTATTGCCCAACAAAAAAAAAATCGTGCGTAACCTAAGAGTGCGAAAAACATTCTTGCCCCAGAAAATTGGCCAACCTTCCTGTCTCTCAGAAAAATGATAGTTCGTCCCTTAGGAAATCCCGTGGACCGGTTACTCAGCCTCAACCTTTTAACAGATGAAAAAATCCTAGCAGTAATAGCCGTTTCACTTGATCAGCTGATTCCTAAACGTAGTTTCTGATCTCCCCTCTTCTAGATATGGACGAGTGCAGCCTGGGGACAGGATCATGTCCGTCTGGACAGGAATGTGTCAACACTCCTGGGGCATACCGCTGCCGTGGTAAATGTGCTGCTGGATTTGTCATGGCTGCGAATGACACGTGTTTTGGTAATGTTTTCACTCATTCACTCACTCGCTCATCCTCATCGGGCCCATGAACCTTATTCCAAAATGGCCGCCATTTTAGTATTCTTTTGTTTGCTTGCAAATTAGCCCTTGTAGCCTCGTTCAAGGTAAAATCTTCTTTTCAATTTCAAGTTTAAGAACGAGGCAATAAGGGCTAATTTGTAAGCAAACAAAAGAATAGTAAAATGGCGGCCATTTTGGAATAAGGTGTATGAGGACTTTTTGTGTGTGAGCAAAACTATAGCAACAAAATACAGAGTTCGTCAGTTTCCTTCCCAATAGCAGCGATGTGACTGCTGTTAGTGCTAGCGGAATCTTTGTTTACAAAACAACTGATTTCGCAAAGAATGTTCGGGCTTCTCTATGCAAACTCAATTTGCATTGGTAATTGTACCCTGGGGATTATGCAATGTTTCACCCCATCACTCTACTCGAGGCCGCGAAAGCGAAGAGGTTGAAGACTGACCTTCCCACCCAACGAGTAAGTCGGGCTTGATCTAGCTGTCCACTTCTATTTTCGCCTGGCCTTAGGCTTGTCCCAGGCCAGAGCGATTCCCCATAGCTTCTTACCATGTCATTAACAACAATACCCAGGGTAGAGTATTACACTACGTTAAGTAATATACTAATGAGACAAAATGGAAACACTGAAGTCAGCAGAGATTTATGCTTAAAACATGGTCATGAGTCTCTATCACGAAGAAAAATAAGAGGTCAATTTATAGCTTACCGTGATGTTTTTTTTTTTTTTTTTCCAGACGTTAATGAATGTGAGATTGTGCTTTCAACGGGCTCCCTGCAACCTAACGATCCATGCTTGCACCAGTGTGAGAACTTAGTAGGGTCATATCGATGCTACTGTAAGGACGGATATCAATTAACAGGAGACCGGTGTGAAGGTAACAAGTCAGACATGTCTTCTCCCTTGTTGTCCTAGAGACCCGGGTTGTTCGAAAGGTGGATAACGCTATCAACCGGATAAATCACAATCCAGCGGATAGCGTGGTTTGTTTTGTTAGCACTTATCCAATGCATAGCGATTTATCCGGTGGATAACGTTATCCATCTTTCGAACAACTGGGGCCCAGAGAAAGCGTACGCAATAATGTCGAAAGGTTTTATAGGTAGTGGTAGCTCACAGTTCACAGTTTTTTATCGCAAAGGAAGGGGAAACCACAAATCCTTGTATTCATGACTTTTTCTACTATTTTACTGGAAAACCGTAAACCGCGATCGAACAGCGGTTAACTAACTCTACCCATAATGCTTTTCGGCATTGTCGTTTTGAAGGACAACCTTTCACAAAACAGCGGTATATCTTTAATATCCACAACTTGCACCTGTGTGGATTCGTAGCTCAGTCGGTAGAGCAACCGTAATCTAATCCGAGGGCAGTGGGTTCGAATCATATTAAGGTCACAAACATATTTCTTGACCTCATGTGATCCCCACTTAAAATTTCTGATGTCCACCGACAATGTGAGGCCCTTTTTGTGTCCCTTTTACACCTCAAAAAAATATACATAGAGAAATAGAAAAATAAACAATTAACAACTTTAATATTCATGGTAAAATTATTCATAGAAAGCTAGGAAATTAAGTTGTGGTGATATGTGTTGCTCTCTTTTCTAGATATTGATGAGTGTGCCACCGGGGTGTGTGATCAGGGCTGCGAGAACAAACAAGGGAGTTTCCGCTGTTTCTGTTTTCAAGGATATCGTTTCATATCGGATAGTCGGTGTTTAGGTGAGTTTAAGTACTGTCGTGTTTTAAGTGTAGAGCTAACAATGGTACAGTGATACTTTATTTCCATCGCTGCCCATTTAGTATCGCTTTAAAGTAAACAAATTCCCCAGTCAATCACGTCAATTAGAATTTTCCGCTCGCACACAATTCCTCTTGCTCTGTTATCAGTTTCGGTACTGGGGCCTCGGTTTCTTTTCTGTGATAAGTAATGAAAGATGGATATTTCGAGCTCAGAGACTGAAGGCGACCTCCCAGATACCGGTCGAGTGGTAAGCCTTTGAGCTACGGAGGGACTCACGATATCTAGGAGGGCATTGGTATACAGTCGAACCTCCCGTAAGCGACCACCCAAAATGTCAAGCCTAGGTGGTCGCTTACGGGAGGTGGTCGCTTACGAGAGCTAAGACCATTATTGGGTTAAAATTTTGCCTCATTAGCATATGGTAACTGCAGAGACTTACCTAGTGTTTTAAATGTCTTATTGATGTCAAAAGTCAATTTCGAGAAAAAATACTGTTTGCCATTGAGAAATATCAGTTTCTTGTACTATCGAGTATTGCTGTATTGTTGCAACACTTTTTTTATCCAATTTTGGCTCTGTTATTTGTCAAGTCGTCGCTTACGGGAGGTTGAAAACAAAAGAAATTTTCAAACTTTTGGCTCTAAAAGTGGTCGCGGTCTCGTACGAGAGGTGGTCGCTTACAAGAGGTTCGAAAGATAGTGATTTGACTAGGAAACGTTTGGTATTTTGGAAAACTGGTCGCTGAGGAGAGGTGGTCGCTTACGAGAGGTGGTCGCAACCGGAGGTTCGACTGTACTACCTTTCTCCTACACTGGTGACTTAGTAAACATTTCGTCTTAATCGAGAGAATTTTTTTCCGAAGATGTGGATGAATGTGCTGAAAACAACACTCTGTGTGGCAGTCTTCAGTGTGTCAACTTGCCTGGTAGCTTCCAGTGTTTAGGAAAGTGTGATGTGGGCTTCAAAAGAACTATGGATGACAAAGAATGTGTAGGTAAGATGTACGTGTAGAAAAAAAATATCTATCTTTAATATGACATAGTGCTTGAGATACAAATTCCTTTAAACGATAATTCAAAGGGTTCTAACAGCTAACTCGTGATTACAAAAGGCAAATGAAATTAATATCTGTTATAAGTTTGACAGGAGCCATACTTCCAATGTGCATAAGGCAGCAGTTGTTTCACTTATTATCTTACCATTCAAAGAAACACTCGGACAAGATTGCGGGACAACTGAAACGAATAGGTTCATTACATTTAACAAAGAAGGACAAAAATACTATGTCCAGGCTTTTCACGTTCTTGTTTTTAGGCTTTACCATTTTGGAAAGCAATCTTTTAAAAGCCTTGTTCGCGTTTTTTAGGTTTTGCTTCACTGTTGTTTGTTTTTCAGATATAAATGAGTGCATTGAAGGTCAACATAACTGCAAATCCAACCAGATGTGTATGAATACGTACGGGAGCTTCTACTGTGTCTGCCCCAGGGGTTACTCGGCCAAGACACCCCAGTCCCCTTGTAAAGGTGAAGGCAGCTCGGCTATGAGTAACTTAAGTTTGGTACCAGAACGTTCGGCGGGGAAACTTCGGCAAGCCAAGAAATTACAGGGACAACCTTTTCATTTAATTTGAAATCCTTGCATTGTTTTGGGTTTGGTATCACTTCTTCAGTGTTTCTCTGCCTTATTAAAAGAAACTGCAGTCATTTTGACGTGGCCTTCAATTTGGAAGTAATTTTGTAAATAAGAAAATGACTTAAGTTATGAAGTTATGACTCCTTTGTTTTTAAGTGGAACCCGCGAAGTATGATCTTCATCTTATTCACATTCATTTCATCAATACACTACACAACATACAGGTCTGGTAGTTTATCGAAATGATGGGTAAGGAGAAAATGTCTACCTCTAAGACTGTACAATGATATTGATTGGGAAGGCGGAATCGCATATTAGCTTTAAAGTCTTTTCGGCCTCTTGGCCACTTCTATAATTTAGTTAAATTTACGTTACTTAATTTATTTTAATTTCTGCGGTATGGCAAATATTCTCTAAATTAAAATACAAAGGAGAATATCAGCATTGATTGTTATGTGGGGGGCTAACGTCTCGGAAAAGTCCAGGGAATTTTTGTGATTACATTTGGACATGTTAACAAGCACAGTGTTGTTAGAAACATGTCTTTCCTTTTAAAAACCAAAAGTTGTTAACCATGATTGTTTGTTTCTTCATCTTTTTATTGGCTCTTTGTTTATTTTTTTGTTGAAGAGAACTTTTCTTTTAGATCTTCTTCTCAGTCTGTCTAAGTTAGTACCGAGGGAAGTAAGTCAGTAACTGTATGAATTTTGCTTTGACTTTTGCTTGACCTGTCACCAAGCAATACAGTAAGCTATCAACTGTTTGTTTGTAGACGTGGATGAGTGTGAGCAGTTCCAAGGAATCTGCGAGTTTCAGTGTATCAATACTATCGGCAGCTTTAAGTGTACCTGCCCAGGCGGAGGAGTACTCAACGCTGATCAGCGCACGTGCTCAGGTACATACAGACAACCCCAATGTGTATTGGCTTTCTTAAGCAAGATGTTCCACTATAAAGGCGTGTAAAGGCGTGTAAAGGCGTGTAATTGGTGATTGGCAGCAGGACGTATGAATCGTCAGACGAGGATCCTTTTGTGCCGGAAAGTCCTCGAAAGGAGAAATAACGCACTAACTATTATTGAGAGTTCTACTAGTGTACTTATGCAAATCCTGCAATGTAATTGGCTGATTTAATTCAATCTGATTCGCTCTCAGTTTCTATGGTTGATTCGACCTTCGGCGTCATCAACCCTCACCTTTTAGTATAAATCTACTAGCGTTCTATCACGAATGTCGTTATCTGACTGGCTACGCTACTCACTATCTATTTCGTTGCGATAGTGAGTAGCCTAGCAGTGTACGGTTGTTAACAAAATGGCGGCAGTTTCTCTGCGTTTTCGAAGTGTCTGTGAAGAGCATTCAGATAAAGTTTTGAACGACTCGTAGATTTATACTAAAACAATTAGATTATTCACTCTCGATTTCTATGTGTGATAGAACTATTGAGCTCATAAACTAATTATTAAATTGAAATCTCGAGCAGCAGTTGTGTGTGAGGGCACAGAATAAGAGTAACTTTAAACTTCTTTGTAGGTGTGGACGGTTGCGCCCTTGAAAACTTAAAATGTGAACAGCAATGCGACTTTTCAGCGCAGGGGTATAGATGTTCGTGTTCGCGTGGATACCGATTAGCTGACAATAAGCAGGATTGTGTAGGTGAGAAAAGCAGAATAGGTTGTAGTATTTTGCCGTGTGCCTTTACAAACTGGCTAGCCCTTCAGTTGCAAGCAAGCAAACTGCCAGCCAATAGCGTTGAAGGTCATTTATTAGGTTGATTCTCACCCTTGATAAGCCGGTAGTCTATCGTATTGCGTGTTCTCGCGGGCTTGGCATTTGGTTCCGGTTGTATGTTTTCCTGCACTCGGCATTTGGCGCTGAGTGCTTTTTTCGCACGCTTGGCATTTGACACTGCTTGTACGTTTTCCCGCGCTTGACATTTGGCGCTGGATGTTTGTTTTCCCGCGCTTCGCATTTGGCGCTGGCTGTATGTTTTCCGGCGCTTCGCATTTGGCGCTGGATGTATGTGTTCCCGCGCTTCGCCTTTGGCGCTGGTTGCACGTTTTCCCGCGCTTTGTCCTGGTTGCATGTATTCCCTTTGTGATTTGTTTCTCGCGTTGTTCACGTTTGTTGTGATTGGCAAGATCTAATTATCAAAGAATCAATTCATTCCGTTCAATGATGTGCAGTGTTTTACTTTTCTTCTTTTTCTTCTTCAGATTTGGATGAGTGTTCATCTAACAGCACCAACTCGTGCCAGTACGCTTGTATAAACACACTTGGTAGTTACAAATGTGACTGTCCCGTTGGATATTACCTCAGCGCTGACGGCAAGAAATGTCAAGGTTGGCTACTTGCTATATATACACAGACTGTTAAGATGGGCAGCTTTGCTTTTTTAACAAACCCTGTAGTAAAGAAACTTTTTCTGCTACAAGAGCCGCGACTGGACGGCGTACCTTGAAAACATAACGCCAATTTTTCCAACTTTTGCGTTGTTAATCCACAGGGCTCGCACGGGTCCTGGAAATCCTGGAAAGTGCTGGAATTTTATTGTGGCATTTTCTAGGACTAGAAAGTCCTGGAAAAAGGCTGCTGGTCCCGGAAAGTTCTGGAAATCTGTTAAACTCAAGTGAAAAATATGAAATAAATGGCAGACAGTAAGGAGAATTAACAATGAGATCTTAGGATTGAAAGAGTTAATGTGAATTTTAGAGTCCTGGAAAAATCAATCTCAGTCCTGGAAAAGTCCTGGAAAATTGTTTCTGAAAAAGGGTATGAACCCTGAATCCAGTGCTAAAGACACTGAAATGAAATTATCTTGACCGAGGTTCGTGCTGATATTCTCTTTTTCTCTAGATATCGATGAATGTGCCCTGATGGGTGGACCGTGCAGTCAGAATCAGTGTTATAACACGAGAGGTAGTTATCAATGCCTCCCGTCCTCGTGTCCTCAGCAGTATAATCAGGTCGGGGGAGGGTAAGTATTGCCCAGTAGTACCACACGCCTGTGATCATTGCCTGCATGGTCATTCATTAATTGACTTGTAATCTAGTCTGCTTCTATTTATAGACGGTTCGTTTAAACCGGTTACAGTTTAAAGTTAACTTATTTTTTGTTTGTTTTGTTGTGTTGCGTTGCGTTGTGTTGTGTTGTGTTGTGTTGTGTTGTGTTGTGTTGTGTTGTTTTGTTTTGTCAATGTTTTGTTTTGTTTATGTCTGTTTTGTTTGTGTTTTGTTTGTTTTTTGTTTTGTTTTGTTCTGTGTGTTTGTTTGTTTTGCTTTTGTTTTCGTTCTTTTCGCAGTTTAGTTTCTCCTAAACAGTTTACCTAGTAGGTTCTCAGAGTGGGAAGGGAAGGTAGGGAGGGAGTTACATTTCCCCTCGTCCCTTAACAATTTTGCGTTTTCTCCCCTGTTCCCTATAAATATATTCACTTGTTCACTAACGTTCCGTGGACAGAGGAGAGACATCCATTGCTCTTTCCAAATAATCCAACAATATCCCTCTTTTCATTGGAACTAATGGCGATGATTTCTTGTTTCCAAAAACCCCTCAGAGGTCCTGCCTAGTCTCTTCCATTGGTTTTCAGCCTCTTAATCTCTTTACAAAAGAAAAAGTAGTTTTAGTTGTTATGGCTTTTGGAGTCTATTCTAGTCTAGAGGGATGTTTCTAAATGTTTGAAGTTTTTAAAATCAAACTTAGTTCGTTAAAAACGCTTGACTTGATTAAAACTCGTTTATTTTGCACACCAGGTTCTGCGTAAACCAGTGCTCGGCGCCAGGCTACTGCGCGGCTCAAGCAACCCGTCAAGAAGTTTTTACGCTACCGCTTGGATTTCCCGCCAATACCGACATCGCCCGCTTGATCCCATTTTTCCCGCCATACATGACCTCGCTTCAGTACTACTGCCAATTTCAGTACATGTTCTCGGTGCAACCTTCGCCGTTCGGTATCAGAATGCTTGCAAACGAGGCCATGATTTACAGTAAAGAAAAGCTGGAAAAGGCGGGAATTCACCAGCTGCAGGTCACCGCGGATTTGTATTACATGGATGGAACGTTGGCTTGTAGGACTGTGTTTACAGTGTATATAGACGTCGCTAGGTTTAGCTTTTGAATAATTTGTGTTCCTCTACACTGGACTAATATATATATCAAAGTATTTTATTATTAGCCTTGCTAAGATATCATTGTTAAGGTAAAGGGGGATTGTACTGTGCAGTTTACGAAAGCCACGGCATCCATACTTCTTGTCTCAGTAACGCATTAAAAAAACTTAGGGGATTTTTTTTCGTTCTCTGTTCATACTAGCAAGCGTGACTGGTTCACTGTCAATTTGTCTTTCCACTGGGATGTTGTATATGCTTTATTTTATCGGAGTATTTATATTATTATTCGACAAGCCTTTAATTTAACTGGCTTAAAACCTATCCATTAATTGTTGCAACTGTCAACTCATGATTTTAAATACCGATACAAATTACTTGAAAGCATATGTTTGTAGATTTTCGTCCGTGTATTCTGAGCATTCACTGCTTAGTTCCCGTTTGAAAATGTCCGACAACAATTCCGATTACTTCTCCATGGACGTTTCCTGGGCCCGTTGTTTGCGGTTTACTCGACCATGCAGTAATAATAAAAAAAATATCACAGGCAGAAGCTGTATACGATTTGCTTCTTATTAGTGAGTTTTGTGTGCCATCCAGAAGTTATGGGCTAATGAAGAAGTCTCGCACAGCATCACTTTGCGTAAAGGAATTAGTGCTGTTACTGTAGGCTTAATGGCAAAAGGCGTTTAAGATCCAGTACAATCCCAATAATAATTCAGACCAAAAAATCGTTTTCTTACACAGCCCACCTCACACCCCCTCACTTCCCTCTCCCTCTCCCGCGGGCCTAGGTCACTTGCGGCTGACTCCTGCCTCCTGTTTTTGTAAGGGTAGTGCCTTTAAGTGATAGACACACTGTAAATTCAAAAGATCGGTTTCAGTACCAAGGTCCTAGTTTAGCCCAGACTATATCATATCATTACTTGTTTTGAAAGCTAACCGTAAACGTGCTAAGCGGAGTTCCACTTGAGTGCCTTCTGGTTAGCTTACTTGCCAGAATTGCAAAAAAGTAACGGTAACTCGATTCATACTCAAATGATCACCTCTTTCCAATTATCCGTTACATACTGAAGTTATTTTAAACTCTAAACTTGAGTAGATATTTTGTAATGAACATAAAGAAAACAAGAAGCTTAGAGAGCCGAGGACCGAGCTTTGGTACAGCACAGTGAAAACTTCGAGAAAAGCCGAACGCAATTCACCTGGAATTAGAAGTCCAAGGTTTGCGTCAATGGAAGCTAGTGATAGTGGCTCGCCAGAATTTTGAAAATGACATCATTTGTTGATGTTCTCAGCCTCGTCCCCAGGGCACTTGTCCCTTCAAACATTCAATCGAGGGAAAAGCGCCCTGGGTACGAGTTTGGATGAATTTGTATGTCCAGACAGATTCTGTGTGTGTAAAAATTTAATTTTCTTAATTTTCTGTGTGTGTAAAAGTCTAATTTTATTTTAAAAATTTAATTTGTAAAATTTTTAATTTTTTAAATAAAAATTTTCGTTGAAACAATAAATTTGAACAGATGAATGGGACCCAAAGAAATTAATTCCTTTCTAAAAAGAGAAACTGTATTCGTAAAACCAAGAAGTCGTAGTAACCGTAATATCCAGCTCTTATACTTAAACAAGACTGAGCTATAGTCCTTTGAAACACCGTGAAATGGCCTCAATATACCGTTACATGGCTCCTTTAATAGGCCACTTTCGATATACATGTATCAATATTCTAACATTGCTCCGAGGCTTTCTGGACAAACTTCTATATCTGGTGTTGTTTTGTTTGTATCCAAGTATCTTTTGGGAATTGAGAGACGAGAAACTTAAAAACATACAATAGACCCTTTGCACGATCCGGTCACTTGGTACGGAATTAATTATGCTGGGACGCAAGTTACGCAGTGGGACATTCAAAACAAAGGAACTCGTACCAGTCCAGCCCGACTTTTTCGTTTGTTTTGGAAGTCCCACTGCGTAACTTGCGTCCCAGCGTAATTAATTCCGTACCATGTGACCGGATCCTGCAAAGGGCCTATTTTGACCCGAAAGCCTCGGAACCAAGTTAGAATATTGGTACATCGATCGTGGCTTATTACTGTGTGGTAATCAAATCCAGAAATTTTTTAATGTTCCCACGCTTTTCACTTTCATTGCTGGCTCGTTTTTCCTGGCTTCGCTGCGCGCGCGTGAGTCTGCTTGTAGCTTAGCCGCTACCATAATCTTAATTAAAATGGGTTAATTTGTTCAGCGTGAGATAGAAAGATTTTACGTTGTTTTGAAGAATTTGCAATCGCAGTCCCAGAGCTATTGGTAAAAAGATAGACACTGTAGGTATATTCGAAGTCTGAACACTGTAAGAAGTTCAACTGAATGTTCCAACTTAGTTAAAGAATAGCATTGTTTTATGTACTGACATCTGCATGGACACAGCCCGTCCTGTGTTCGCCTTCACCCGATACGCTACACCAATATTGGTTATTCTGTAGCAGAAGGGACAGCTAAGCCTGATTTCACGTGTTTCGTGTTTACACTTACGGCAGATGACAGCCTCGCCGCTTGCGTCTTGAATGAAGAGCCCGCCACAATACTTGAGGATTCCCTGATTGGTGTCGTTCCACTCACCCAAGCATTGAACGTCATGTCTTATGTATCCACAGGGACATTTAAGAGATATCGTGTCGAAGGGCATTTATTCCTGAAGAACTGAATAATCATAATAATAGCAACTGTTAGGAAATATTGAGCAGAAAAAGTATTTCGTTTAAGATTCTATTCCTTTCATTAAAGCTGTTGAGTAGAAGAAAAAAACTCAATCCGAAGAAGTTTGACTGCTTTGAGGATGTGCGATCATGGTTTTTTGTCCCACCTCACAACCTGATTTTACCTAAACTACGTTTGCTTCCTAAGGTTTGTCGGTAGTTATGGATATTTTTTGTTAATAATGATAAGATAAAATAGCCAAAAATGGTGAAATTTGTTGAAATTGAAAGAGCGGTGAGTATCGATTACAATCGGTCATTTTTCGTTGATTAATATCGATTAAGTTAAAGAAAATCCTGGCTGAAACTCTTTACCTTCCAAAATACGCACAAAATGGTTCTCTTTAACTGAACCGTGGGATGTAGGTGGACGTGTCTGTAAGTACATAGTTTGAATGGAAAGCGTTTGGTTTTCGGTTTAGAGCACCTTGTTGCCTTGGTCTCTTTATATTAACCTGTGACGTCACTGCACGGTCAGACATCTTTAATATTTGAAACTATTTAGTTTCCACCATCCTAAATTGCTTATTGTTTAAAGACGATAAAAATCGCTAAAATCTGAACCAACTGAATTGCAAGCCGATCACGGATACTGCAACCAATCAATGATAATCTACTATAGTTATTACTGATATATAGATTGCGTCCCGATGATCAATTCAGTTTCATTTTGTGGGCACGTTGGAAATCACAGCTTGCACCGAACTCCACTTGAAAGATAACACCAATTCTTTTGTTGTCAGTTTTAATTGATAACTGACGAGATATATTACTTGATTTTTTTTACGTATTTATCAGACTTTAGTAGACTTTCTAACTCTGTTATATATATATAGATACTTTTATTATAATAGTCAGAGCTCCTTGATGTTAGGCTAGTGTTGAAACGGTTACCTTATTGAAATAAAGTTGACTTATTTAAGCTCCGCTCGAAAACATTTCGTCGAAAACTAACATAACCTGTGACTCGATCTAAAGGAATAAACAATTCTGGGTCCCGTTTCTCGAAAGCCCCGGAAACTTTTCGGGCCAGTAAAGCCATTTTTAGTCCATCTGTGTCTAAAAACGGAGAAGTGTATACGCATGAAACTTCTTGTGTGAAGGGAACTTCTCTTCATACATGTATTAAGAATATGTGAATAAAACAACTCTGTAATCATAAGGTTCGAGATTTTACTATGGCTTTACGGGCCTGAAAAGTTTCCGGGGCTTTCGAGAAACGGGTTCCTGGTGAGTTTGTTTCATTTTCCACTCAAGTGTCTCTTTCGCTTGGAATCGTTGATATCTACCATAAAATTAAAAAACTGAATTTAAAAACCTTATCAAATCAAGAAAATTAGAGACGGAAATTTCGGAACGAAGTCAGATGCCGCGAAAATTTTACATAATGCTGGGGTAACCTCTTTTAGCTGCTGTTTGGGTTTGTTAAAAAGTTAAGCCGGTAAGGTTGTCTTTTTAAGGCGCTCAAGTGTCTTGAAATGTCCGATTGACGTTTCGGCACTGTTTAGGCATTAACACCGTGAACAACACAAAAAGTTGACCGGTGTAAATCTGTGAGGATAACTTCCTCGGAATAGAAAATGAAATGGCATAGGCTACTTACACAACCTATCACACGCTTTTATGCAAACACAAGTTTAAATTTCGATTTAAAAAATATCCTATTTTGCCGATATCTGCAATTCTTTACTTTTAAGTCGAATACTGCGCACATCTTCTGTAAAATACACTACATTAGCATCAGATAAGAAGTCTCTATTCAATTCTAGGTTGTCAACCTATCGTGATTATCGTCAAGGGAAATTGAAACGGTGTTCTCTTCATCAGTGTAGGCCCGGCCCCAAATATATTTATTAGAATTTCTCTGTCGATTCTCCTCTAAGTCTTACCTTTGTTTATGTCAGTCACCGGAGAGAACACAGACAAAACTTGTACTAGTAATTGGCGCTGAAGCGTCTCAGTTGTTCCACAACACCTCCAACTTTTTTTCCAGTTTCTTTCCCTCTGGCTTTTCTCCAACTCTTCAGTGAAAGTGAAAAATAAAATATTTTTAGGGCGATCTATATGCACCTCCAGGCGGTCAC